ATACTGTCTCCCACAGCATCCTCATAGATAAGCTAAGGAAGTGTGGGCTTGATGATGAGGTAGTGAGGTGGATCAAGAACTGGTTGAAAGGAAGAAGGCAGAGAGTTGTGGTCAATGGGGCAGAATCTAGCTGGAGGTCTGTGACTAGTGGAGTCCCTCAGGGGTCGGTGCTGGGACCGGTGCTGTTTAATATTTTCATCAATGACCTGGATGAGGGAACTGAGTGTACCCTCAGCAAGTTCGCTGATGATACTAAACTGGGAGGAGTGGCTGACACACCAGAGGGCTGTGTTGCCATTCAGAGACACCTGGACAGGCTGGAGAGTTGGGCAGGGAGAAACTTGATGAAATTCAACAAGGGCAAGTGTAGAGCCTTGCATCTGGGGAAGAACAAGCCCATGTACCAGTACAGGTTGGGGGCTGACCTGCTGGACAGTAGCGAAGGGGAAAGGGACCTGGGGGTCCTGGTGGACAGGAGGATGACCATGAGCCAGCAATGTGCCCTTGTGGCCAAGAAGGCCAATGGCATCCTAGGGTGCATTAGAAAGGGTGTGGTTAGTAGATCAAGAGAAGTTCTCCTCCCCCTCTACTCTGCCTTGGTGAGGCCGCACATGGATTACTGTGTCCAGTTCTGGGCCCCTCAGTTCAAGAAGGACAGGGAATTGCTTGAAAGAGTCCAGTGCAGAGCCGCAAAGATGATTAAGGGAGTGGAACATCTCCCTTATGAGGAGAGACTGAGGGAGCTGGGTCTCTTTAGCTTGGAGAAGAGGAGACTGAGGGGTGACCTCATCGATGTTTACAAATATGTAAAGGGTGAGTGTCAGGATGATGGAGCTAGGGTTTTTTCAGTGATGTCCAGTGACAGGACAAGGGGCAATGGGTGTAAACTGGAGCATAGGAGGTTCCATGTGAACATCAGGAAAAATTTCTTTACTGTGAGAGTGACAGATCACTGGAACAGGTTGCCCAGGGGGGTTGTGGAGTCTCCTACATTGGAGATATTCAAGGCCTGCCTGGACAAGTTCCTGTGTGATGTACTCTAGGTTACCCTGCTCTTGCAGGGGGGTTGGACTAGATGATCCTTTGAGGTCCCTTCCAACCCTTGGGATTCTGTGATCTGGGGGCTGTGTGACTGACTGTATGAGAAGAGCAGGGCATTTCACTGCCTGGCACAGGTGAGCTCAGTATGTGTGCAAGTGATGTGGCAGAGCTGGTCCCACCGTAGCCCCATCAGTCCCATTCAGGGCTCTCTGGGGATGGCACAAGGGCAGCTCAGCATCCCCGCTGCCCCAGAGCTGCCTGAGGGATGGAGCAGAAGGGACCATGGCTTTGCAACCTGTGTTTTGGGAGGAGAGGAGCACCAGAACTGCCACATGACTGTAACTCTGGATGAGGGACATTTGGCAGGTGCCTCAGACACTTCACAGCATCCCAGGCCCCTGGCACTCCCACACCAGTGCTGGCCTCTGGCTGCTTCTGGCATGGCCCCACTGCCTAGGGTACCCTGACCTCTGTGCAGGGAGACACAGCAAAACTGAGAAGCCTGGAACATCTTTCCTCTATCACCACAGGGTCACACTGACGCTCTGCTGCTAGCATGGCATCTGGGGGGATAAAACAACCAAGGGATGACTCAAGCTTCCTCAGTGCCATCCAGTTGCCTCCCCATGCTTCTATTTCCCACCCACACTCTGAGGTGAAAACAAGTTGAACTCACACTGCCCCCCACCAGCTCTTTGCTCATATTAAACTGCTCTCTCGGACTCTCCAGGAAGCACGGCCACCTACCAAAAATCTGTATTGGGAAGAAATTTTCCTGCAAAAATAGGCTAGTGAGCTGTAAATGTGTGCTCGAGGATGGCAACACCAGGACAGTGAGGCTGGGGCTCTAAAGCGCAATGTGGCTGCTTCCCAGGCTTGCTTTGGAAGCTTTGGGAGCCTTCCAAGCCAGAGTGGTTTCTTTTCCTAGATTTGGGATTTCCTGTATTTCCTAGGACAAACCACCCAGCTCCCTTGAATGACTGCTCATTTGCAGTTAGCATGGATTGTCACTAGCCATTCCCATAGGTTTTCTGATGTCCTCTGCATGTTTGGCTACTTCATTCTGCAGCACCTTCAATATACTCAATACAGTGCTGTTAAATGGCTATCAGTCCCTACCAGGCAGCACCACCCAAAATTAGTACCTGGGGACACGCTCCACTGCAGCTTTAGGAAATGAGGCTGCCGGGGGACACAGAGCTGTGCTGGACAGATGTCCCAGTGCCAGGCACAGGTACCTGCTTGTGCCCATTAATCCACAGCATCCCGCAGATAGACACCAGCCTTTTCTCCCCTCCCGAGAATGTTGAGCTGATGGCTTTACAAATAGGTTGTGCCCTTGCATGGCTGGTGCCTCCATCACCAAAAAGCACCTTGCAACAAGGAACCCCAATGCTGGGAAGGGTCCAAGTATGGGACTGCCCCAAAGCATGTAGCTGCTTTTCCTCCTTCGTGTTGTCAGAGGGACAGCAGCCCTGCTAACCACAGCCTGTTTGCCAGGCTCCACTGCCAGCTGCAGCCACCTGACAGGCGCAGTGACCCTGAGTGATTATTTAGCAGCAGATTGTATAACAGAGCAGGGCAGACATTACATTTCTGTCCCTGACCTCAGCCCTGGGGTATCTCCCACCCAGAAAACTTCCAGTCTAATCTTTCAGACCTCAGAGGAGCAGCCTGAGGCATCTGACACCATCCTTCAGAGAGGAGCAATCAGTGGGGACCAGGTAGCTCTGGGCAGGAATGAGCTGCACAGCACACCCCGTACCTACCCGAAGGGGAGAAGAGGAGGAACCTAATGGCCCCACAAGGGCTCAGGTGTGGAGCCCAGACCCTGCTGAAATGCCCAGACCCTGCTGAAATGCCCAGACCCTGCAAAGCCCCCCTGCTCCCTGCTGCCCATCTAAATAAAGCTCTACACTCACCTCTCCATGTCAGGATTAGCTGTGCCACAAGGTGAAGATGGATAAGCTGTCCTTGGACACAGCAAACTAGCTCTAACAGCTCCCCTGAGTTCCAGCCACACTGCCTCTGGGAGCAGCTGAGCCCCTTGGACCTTTCCCAGGGGTGGGCAGCCCAGAAGGCAGTGGAGGGGTGCCCACATAGTCTAGGGCTCAGGACACATCAGCCTTGTGCTGGTGATGTCCCCAAACCATGTTGCTCCTTCATGTGGCTGAAGAAACAGTTCAGGGCAATGATCTATAGCCCTCAGAGGTCAGAAGGATGCTGCAATGTTGCAAGGAGACAGGCATGGCCACAGATCACTGCTGTGCACTTGCCAGCTGGTTCTGATTCATCTCATTCAGAAATCAAGCCAAACCCAGTTCTCCTGAAGCCTTGTTTATGAGCTTGACTTTAGCGTGCTCCAGGTCTAAGCATCCCCTTTCAGCAGACCTTGGTGGCTGTGAGCAGCCCCTCCAGGATTAGCATGGATTTGCTGGGAAGCTAGAAAGGAACCAGCAGGGCCACCAGGCTGGTTGATATGAGGAGACATTGCATACAGGGAGAGGTGATGACTGGCATAGTTATTTGGGAAGGAGAGGAGACTGGGGCAATTAGAAGTTTACATTGACTTGGAGGTCAGATACAGGGAGGATGGAGCCAAGGTCTTTCCAGTAGGTCAAGGGCACTATAACATAAAGCAAGAGGCAGACATTGCATCCAGGCCAGTTCAGGTAAGCCATTAGGAAAAACTCCCTCTGCAGAAGGGTGATGCAACCCTGGGCCATGCACCCAGAGAGGAGGGGACTCAATCCTTGGAAGCTTTTCAGCCTTAGCTCCCAGAGCCCCAGCTGCTCTGACCCAGCAATCAAGGGTTGGCCTCCACCTTTCCGCCAGCACTTTTATGAGTCCATGATAAATTGGGTGGTATGCCTTCAGCCATACACATCAACTTACATCAAACACTGCTCTTGTACAGCCTACAGAGATGTACCTGCTCAGAGATGCAGCAATCCGCAGAGGATTTTGCAGCAAACTGAGCTTAGGAACACAGAGTTTACCCAACAGCCACAGGAAAAAAAATAGGTTCAAAGGATAAGATCAGAAAATTCAGTATTTAAAATGTGTGATTGTTTCCATAGCTGGGCTGGAAAGCCAGCTGCTGCGTTGTAATAAAGGCCAACTATTAACCAGGGGGCTAAAGAGGTGCGATCCTCTCTGAGGAGCGGAGGGTACATTACTGAGCCTGAGGTCTGCTTGTGCCAGCACTTGGAGAGGATGAGCAGCAAGGTACAGGGACGATCCTGCAGTGCCCTGCAGGCAGCACAGAGGGATGTTGAGTGAGCTGCACTCTGCAGCAGCACCCAGCTAACAGCGCTCACCTGAAAGCATGATTACCCATGTCTTTGACAGAGAAGAAAAGAATATAAGGGTGAATGAATGTATTTTTGATAGGTTACATAAACAATTAATCCAAAGCTGCCTTATAAATAGGTGGCATGAGCTGTCAGTGCTTTTATTGGGCCTTTAACAGAAGAAACATTTTGGCTGTTTCAAAATCAAACTGCCCTCCCTTTGGGCAAGTCAGATCTCAGCTGGAGGAAGCAGCTTTGGATTGTTAGGAATATTTGGATATTGCATGGCTAGTCTGCTTCATTTACAGGCAATGGGGAATTGCTTTGAAGTGGGTCCTCGGGTCTTAAAAGCCTCACATGCATGCCCGATGCCTTGCAGTACAAAGTAGGCTTGAGCTGTATCCTGCTGTGCTGCTGCTGGCAGGGGGGATACTCAGCCTACCTGGGGCATGAGAGCTCTACTCCAGCCAGGTGGCAAGGTCTGGCTCAGGTCAGCTTCTGAAAGAGCCGAGTTAAGTGAGGACGGAGTTTGAATGCAGTAATACTACAGGAATACACTCACTGTGGCTGAAGGTGCCATAGCTATACCTAGTTCCACTGCAAAGGAGCCAGTGCCACACTAGGTCATGCTCCAGCGTGATGCAAGAGATGCCTTTACAATTTGCCTCCTTGCCTCCGTAAGGAACCAGAGCTGGCAGCAACTCCCAGGGGAGGCAGCTTGGGGTCACACTCCCCACAGGAGGCGGGGGTTAGGGATCGCAGTACACTCACTGTGCAGCAGGGTATCTAACAGCTCTGGACAAAGGGTATGCCCAACAAGTATGCCTGGGTGCAAGTGCTCCTTTATCATCCCTTATCCCTTTTTTACTGATGTCAGCTGTTTCTCTGGCTGCCTGTGAGCAGGAGTTTCTACCCTGCTCAAAGGGCAGGAGCTCAGAGTTGCTTTTGCCATCTGATCACACTGATCCACCAGTGCTGTAACCCTCAAGGACAACCTGCCACGTTGCATGGCAGGGTGTGTGCACCAAGTCGTAAGTACTGGAGGTGTCCTGGCACAGACAACGTTGAGACCCCAGGCCCCATGTCTCACCCAGGCCAGGACAAATGTCACTGTGTTTGCTGCCTAGCACAACTGCATGAGGACTGGGGATGCTGGAAGCTGCCCTGCACTCCCACTCTATTCCTGTTCCCAGCCAGACAGCACAGTGCAGCAAGCAGACCCAGAGCACTGGGGCAGCTTGTGCAAGAGACACGGAGCGAGGGGTTCTCATGCCCCAGAGGCAGAGGGAAATGGCAAACTGAGGTTGATTCTTCTTTTCCCATGCTGAGAGTTACAAAATCCATGGTCAAGGTTACACACCCAAGAGACTGTGACCTCTGGCTCTGCCTGTTGAAAAACACGTGCCTGAAAGAAGAGAGCACAGACAAAAGGAAAACAAAGAAAAGAACAAATCCAGAGGGAAAACAGAGCAGGAGCAAGCTCTGGCTGAGGCCAAGGAGGGAAGGCAAAGGAACAGCTTTCCAACTGGCTCAATTACTCACCGTGCTACGCAGCTGCTATACAAGTGATGCACTGTTCCTCTTCTGAAACCCTGTTTAAAGAGAATTTTTGTTACATACAGTAAGGATGGAAAACGAAAAGAAGGTGGAAATTTCCCCAAAATAAACAACATGCTTTATTTGGTATCAAAACAACTGTTTTCTTTTGGGTATAAACGATCTGGCTCAAAGCTTGAAGCTGGCCCCATCCTTTGCCAGGAAGATAACACTGGGGAAGCCAGAGAACAGCCAGAGCTTGACAGCACACAGCTGGTGCGACCAAGCTTTGCCAAGCTCCTACTCTGGCCCAAGGCAATCTACACCAGTGTAAATGCTTCTCCCTCACCCACATCTTCCTTCTGCAGCCCATCATTACAATACAGGTATCCTACCTCCTTGAAAAAACCCAGGCAGGGCTTAGTGCTCCCTGCATGGGGGTGAGCTCCAGATGGAGCCCACAGGGATAGTTCAGGAGGGGGATGATCAGCCAGCACAGGAGCCAGGGAGGCAGACAAACCTCCACCTCTGCCATGGCTCCCCATGAGCCCATGGTAAGCGGAACAGGCAGAGCCTAGGAGCAAGCAGAAATGGAATGGGACCCAGTCTCACCCTCTCCAGATAAACCTGCAGGCTCCTCATCCCTTTTGTGAGCTCTTTGAGGCAGATGTCTTGCCACATAGTGGACCCTGGTATTTTGTCAGGCTCTGCTTGTGCCACTATGACAGCCAGCTTTTGCATGCCTCTCACCACTATGACAGCCAGTTTCATCATGCCCCTCAATGGCATGAGAGAACTCTCAGCCAGTTTTCTCATGCCTCTCTCATGCTTCAAACACTCCTCAGAGGTCCTAGGCCATTGTAGGTACTGCTCACGCCTTTGGTTGTCTGATCCTTCTCCATTCTGTCCCCAGTGGAAGCAATCACACTTACCTTGCAAGATCTGTTTTTCTTAAGCCAGGCTGCCATTTGTCCATTACTATTGATGTATCAAGAGCATTTGCATATGCCTGGAAGCACATCAGCTCCCTCAAGGAAGAGGGATGAAATATCCTCCCTTGCCTGATAGACTGAATTGCTTAAGCAAGCGGAATCAAACCCAGGTTTCTGGGTTACCCAGTAGAGTTCTTTTGCAATGGTGTTCTTAGGAGAGGGATTGCAGAGATGTCTGATCTCGCACCCCAGAGCTGGCAAGACCTCAGGAGAGATGCAGACATCAAAGTTTTCCAACTTGGACATTTCCAGGTTAATACAGACAGGATTCCCAGGGCAAGGATTTGTTTCTGAAGAAACAACCTTTCACACTGCCCTCTCTGAAGCACAGCTGTGTTCAGCAGCATGTGTGCTTGCTGCCCTTGGCATGCTCTACACAGCCTCCCTCCATGCTCACAGATGTCTCAGCAAATCACCCTGCATGAGCCAGAATGGCCACCATGGTGAAGAGAGCCCAGACTCAACACCTGGAAGTCCTTCTGCATGTCTAGCTTTGTGCATCTATATTCGTGATACAGTGGAGATGCTGCAGGAGAGCATCTCATGGGATGGTTTGGGTTGGAAGGGACCTTAAGATCCTTTAGTTCCATCCTGCCCTGCCACAGGCAGGGACACCTTCCACTAGCCCAGGTTGCTCCAAGCCCCATCCAGCCTGGCCTTGAACACTGCCAGGGATGGGGCAGCCACAACTTCCTTATAGCTAACCTGAACTTCCCTTGTTTAAGTTTGAACCCATCATCCCTTGTCCTACCTCTACAGTCCCTGATGAAGAGTCTCTCTCTGGCACCCTTGTAGGCCCTGCCTTCAGACACTGGAAGGCTGCTATGAGGTCTCCATGCAGCCTTCCCTTCTCCAGGCTGAACAGCCCCAACTTCCTCAGCCTGTCTTCATACGGGAGGTGCTCCAGCCCCCTGATCATCCTCGTGGCCCTCCTCTGGACTTGCTCCAGCAGCTCCATGACCTCAAACAGCCCATGAGCACAAACCAAAAGCAGTGTAAAAGGCAGTTAGTGCGAGATGTCACTGTCCCAGTCCAGCAGCCAGCCTTGGGCTGCAGGCTCCTGCACCAAGTGAAGTACCGGGGAGCAGCCAACACACCCGGTCCCTGGCGCTGAGCTCGGAGCAAGGGGATTTGTTGCTGCCACCTGCTGTCCTCTGCCAGCAGGACAGGCTTTGCTCCGCTCTCTGCCAGCACTGCCCTAGGGACTGGGCCTGCACCCGGGAGAGCAAACAAGCAGGACCCATTGTCCAGCCCGGCTCCTGCCAAGCACTAGAGGGACCCAAAGACTTGTTTGCCCACCCACAGACACCAACGAAGAAAGGAAAGCAGTGGCTTCTGTGTTCTGATTCTCCAGTACAGTCGAGAAAGTTGCCCCTGGTTTTCTTTTCAGCCTGCTGCAAGCCAGGGCTGTCTGCTCCTACTGGGAACCCTCAGACTGGTTTCTGCATCTTCCATCCGCAGCCTAAGACAGCCTTGAGCACAAGGCAAGAGACATCCCAGGGGAGAATCCAGGCTGCACTGATACAGTGAAAAGCCCCAAAGGCAAGGCAGAAAGGTTGTACAAGTCCCAGCACGCTGCAGCACAAGCCAGGGTGAGACTGGCACAAAGGTAGCAGGAGCCATAAGAAGCATTTTATTTTGCAATTCCTTGAGCCACAAACACTGAGAAGATGCACAGTTGAGAGGAGACAGGAAGTATAATACAGAAGGGTCAACACAGCCACAACAGGAGTGGTTTGAGCAATGCACTGACAGTAATATTATTAGTAAGCTAAAATTGGTCTTCTGACATGTTTCCATACACTTTAAACCAGGAATTGCTCCTATTGGCTCTACAGCTCTTTCTAGGAGAAAATGTTGCTTTTTACAACAGCAGTAGGATATTCAGGGACACTCAAGAAAGTGAACTCCATTTGGTATTCCAAGAGTATCTGCCAATGGGCATCACACCCCACTCACACATGCTTTCTCAGAGCTTGAGTGGCCTATATTTGATTTCCATTCTTTCAGCCTGGAACTGTGCCCACAAAGGGTTTAATGCAGTTTCACCAATCCACTTTATAGCAGCACTTGTATGAAATTCAGATTAACCTAGTGCTGTCCCCTGTGCAGAAGGTCCTGTTTTATGCTAGTGTAAATGGTGTCAAGGTCACTGTTTGTTGCTGCGGAGCAGTGGAGGATGGTCCTGCAGGCAGCCAGGAAAGGCAACACGTCCAGTTCATGTGCCAGGACTCACAGGACATTGGAGACAGCATCTGTGTCCACATACACACTTAAGGGATGCTTACCAAGGAATGCTCCTTGCAGGCTGAAGTCATTGGCCCATGATTTGCCTCATAATCTCCAGGTCAGATTGTCTTTATTTCTGTGATATTCCACTGCAAGACCAGTCATCACCAAAACTCAATCCCCTGTCAAGCACTTCTGAATGCTCCTTGCTCCGGCTGGCCACATGAACTCACCAGCAAGAAAACAACATCAGCCTTTCAGCAAGTGACCCTGAGCCCTGGAAAGCAGTGGCCAACCTTCGCTGCTAGTCAGGACAGGCCCACAAGGGAACTTCCTCTCTGCTAACTCAGCCCACCAGAGGGAAAAAGCAAAGGTAAGGGATGTAGACATAAAGGAAATAATAATTAAAAAATAAATAAAATCTAAAAAACCTACTTTGAGACAGTAAGTTTCCTGCTTCAATTGACAGGACAAATAAGCTGAGGAGTGGGTGCCAGAATGCCTTTCAGATAATCAGGGGTCTGGCCCAGAGAGGCAAATCACTTGAAATGCTACAGAAGCCCGACAACAGCAGAGCTTCTGATGCTTGGTCCTAAATAGGACCCACTCAGGACCCCGCACATTCTGCCATGGCAGTCTTTTGTATTTCAGATGAACAGAGCAACCCAGGATTGCATTAGCTGGGCTGTGCCTGGCACAAAGGGAATTCAGGACTACATGCCATCTAAAGCCATGTGTGTATTTTATTAGATATATTTATAGGCAGAACCACAGACCCTGAAAGGAACCAGGAGAGGGAGGAGAGGCAGAAGTCTGTTGTGAAAGGCCTATAGGGAAGTAGTTGAAAATGCCTTTGTGGCAATAGTTGCCCTATCTATCCTTCACTGTTCTCGCCTGCTCACTCTCACCAGATTCCTGGCAGAAACCACTATCTCCTGGCTCCATGCAGCCCAGCAGGTAAAACCCATACACGGACAGGTTATTCACACAGCCTTGGCTCCATGCAATGCAACAACCAGCCCAGTGACATTCCCCTACAAAGTGCAGACTTGCATGAGGACAAGGGCAGGCATGTTTGCTACGTCTGTGAGGACCAAGGCAATCCCCAACATCAAGCAAGCTGCATGTGCATGCAGCAAGGTAATGTTTCACCATTTCACCACTTCACCAGTAAATCAGGAGGAAGTAGCAAGAAAACAACAGGGAAGTCAAAGATCTTGGGCCTCATGCCTTCATCATGTGCAAGCCACGTGCACAGAGCTACCTTGTACCAAGCCAAAGCTACCTAAATAGCATGCAAAACTCAGTTTTACAGCAATCTACTAGACACTGGTCTGTAAAAACTCAACCAGCCTTGCTCTAAAAGCTCCTCTGCTTTACAGGCCAGCAGCCCAGATATTTGTGGTCATTCTGTACTGCTGGCATAACCTGGAGGTAAAGGTGTGCTCATGTTTTCCCTTCTCCTTTGGTCAACTCCTTGTTAACAGAGCAGATAAGACCAGTATTTCCCAGGTGGAACACAGCGTCAGCCTCTCCATCCGCAATTTCCTTAGATCTCAGCAGTGAAACTTGGGCTGTACTTGGAAAGGACACAAAGCAAAATGCAGTCATTATCAGCTTGGTCTCTGGTTACATATCCCTAGTTACAAAGCTGATTCAGAGCTATTGGCAGACTCCTTGCTGAGCTGTAAGGACAAGGGTGGACAAGTTTCTGAGCTACTAGCTTGGGGCAATTTGGCTTTAGGGCTTTGCTGTATCAGGGCAGATGCCCACCCTCCTTGGGTCAGAAGCTAACCTCCCAGCTGGCAGAACTAAGCTCAAACTTCTACACAACTCAAAGCAGGCAGAGGATGACACTGCTGGGAACACTGACCTTCGTGGTCCTTAAAAACAACCAAGCCAATACAAGGTACAGGTAGTCACACAATGACAGGGAAAATGGGGAGTATCAGCACAAGAGGAGTACAACATAGAAGAAGAGTAAGTGCTTGCAAAATGCCTTAAGAGCAGCTTTACATGGAAAGTGACTGCTTCTGAAACAGTTTTAAAAAGTAGCCCCTCTCAAACATGGATCAGCTACGAGTAGCTTATTGGAAGCAGGTCTCCCGTCAAGGCCATTGGGATGGCAGCATGCTGCAAGAAGCAACTCGTTCCTTGGAATGTAAAGCCTGACTGCACACACATACTGTAGATTAACTCATGTCATCAGGGTTTCTTAACTGCTCTGTCCTCAGTGTGAAAGGTTTATCCTTAGCTAGGCATTCCTCAGAAAGGTCTACAATGCAGAGTTCCTGGAAAGCTGAGCCTCTTTTCAGCAGGAAGAAAATGGATGTTGTGTTGCCAGCCTCAGGACAGGAGCTACCACTAGTTCCTCACCCACCCCCCCCCCCCCCCTCAGTCTAAAAGAATGAGATTAGCTTCTGTTGTCCCTGCATCCCAAATATCCCTGCTCTATTTTCTTATGAATTTTCAAGATGTGCAGAAAACAGACAGAGGAACGAGCCTTGTCTAAAAGCTCTGGGAGATAGGAAGAGCTCCATTTCTTTTTTATGCAATGACAGGGTTATCAAAGTTGCAGACACTGGACGTAATGGTAGAGGCAGGTTGAAGCAACACTTGAATACAGCCAGCGCTGGAGAAACCAAGAAGAGCAGGGTCACACTTGAGCTGTGAACCTGGGGTCCTGAAAGACATGGGGAAGTATTATCACGCTATTTCTCTTTGTGGAGAGAAATTTGTCCTTTAGATTATTAGGGTATGGGTTTTTTATTATTATTAGATGAAAGCTATAGATAAAAAAAGGTAAGATAGAGTACATTACTCTGAAATGCTTTGAAATAAGTCAGTAGCGCAGTCCTAATCTGAAATCCTGTGGTTAGTTCTCATTGCTTCACATTAGAAGGACACAAAAGGAGTTAGTGGCACAAAAAGGATTCTTAAAAAGGTGCAGACAAGTCTTTGCCTATATAGCAACAAAAAACATTAAGAACATCCACAGAATTATTGGGAAACGGTTTCATATTTAACTAAAATACTGCAGTTTGAGCTCTATCCTCAGAACTCAGGAGTTTGGTTTGGATTTAAAGTGCTCCCCAAGAAGACAGGTGAGTGAGAATTAAGAGCTCAGTGAGTGGGATTCCCACCTTAAACTAGTGATGTTACCGTGCTTCAGACAGAAGCCATGCAATAACTTCAAAAAAGATGAGCCAGGCACTGTCTGACCAGACTATTTGCTAGACACGCTTCTAAAGCCTTAGACAGGGCATGTATTGGTGTCCACCGATTTAATCTGATTTAGCAGTTC